GTTAGAAATTTGATAAGGTTAAAATTGTTAATGAATAGTGAGAAAAAAGGCAGGTGGTAGTTGTGAGTGTCCATTCAACAAGTGTGAAAAGGGGTAAGAGAACGTACAAAAGGAGCATGTGCTAGTGATAACAGTGAATTAATTACTAAAGTAATTAGTAATTTAGGAGTAGAATTGATTACGTAATCATACGAGATGTGTTACTTGAAGGCATTAGTAAAGTACCAATGAATGCGAAATGTTTTGTGCAAGGAGACGTTTAGCTTGGTCATGGAAGCCAGATTGAAGTGGAATTTAATTCTGGAATCAATATTCACCAAGGTATTAGTAAGTTAGTAGTACTGTAACAACAGAAGACAAGGGCCAGGCAACAGATCGTTTATTACGAAAAATCAACACGTATTTATAGATTTTTATGTACATTATTATAGGTTAATGTTAGTAGAAAATACAGTCTGTTGATTGGTTGTTTCTCACACAAAGTTAACCTTGCATCTCTTGTGGCCGTGCCAGTTCATCTATATGTTAACTGTATCCGCCTGTCCATCTTGACCTTGACCTCAATTACTGTCAACCAATTGGCTAGTAGACAGCTCTCACCACAGTACCAGTAGTCTCCTCCTCGGCATATTATTCAGACCTCATCTTTTGAATTGCAATAGCTTCAGTAGTTTAACACAGTCGTGGAATACTTCATCTATCGTCTGCTTTCAAAGATCCTGACGTTTTGTATGAGCAAGGTGATATCTCTGTCTGTCTGTTTTCGATATAGAACTTTGCACATATGTGCGGCACTTCAAGTCACCACACTCCATGTAGCACACAAAGGAAGAGAAGAAAGTAGGAGAAATGCATAATAGAGACAGTAAACAGAGGTGTGAGACAAAGGAATAATAATAACGAAGAACAAAACAGTTTCATTTGAAATCATAAGTCACAAGGAGTGAATGCATTTGCGTTAGCCATTGAGAACGATTTTGAGCCATATCATCAATTGTTTCCAACCATTGGTTTTTACCGTCCCGAGGACCCCATCCAGGAAGTCTACACATTCCTACGTGGCTTAGACTAACCGTTGTAGATTTCATTGATTGGTGCCACGTTTTGGTTTGACCACCACTGGCTTTCTCTTTTCCAGTCTGACCCTATATCAGCTAACATTGCCCGTCAGTCGAGGAAGGCGATGGCTAGTCATGCGTGCGTAACACATGTCCTAACCATCTCAGTCGAAGTAATTTCACAGCCTCGTCGACTGATTTCCCCTCCTAACCTAGCACTCGACTGATGCCTAACCTCAATATTACTCACCTTATTATACCACTTCACGCGGGAGATAGAACGCAGACACCTATAATTGAAGACAGCTAATCTTTGCATGTCTTCCACTCTCAATGGCCAGGTCTCACAGCCATAAAGGTGGACGGAGCGGACTGATATGCTGTGGGATTAATAAACAATCCTAGTAGACAGTGGTCTCTCCAGTCTTCTTATATGCTTGCTTCTGAAATTACTTGTCAGTCAGTCAGTCGATAGATATAGATGAAGTTAACATTGATTTTGGGGATAAGCCTAACTCCGACTGTGTAATTGAACGCCATCAGAATCAACCTATGGATTGAATAATAGGTCTTTGATGTGTTCCTATTTCTTCCCTACTGTTATTCGTTTCTTCAGACTACATCATCTTTTAATCATTAATATAAGGAGCAACAATGTACTGTATTTTACTCCTTCTGCCACCGTAACAGTATTTCGCCACCAGTGGTTGTTTAGGTTTTTATCAAAGTAATTGTATTTCATTCAACTTATTTTTCGTAGTCGATGGTTTTTAAAGTTTAGTTTTTAACCGTTCCAACTTACTTCACAGTGACTGCTGATTGGCGACGAAATCTTAGCACGGATCCAAAAAGCTCGAGCTGCTTTCGCTAACTTACGCCATCTCTGGCGTAGGCGTGACATCCGGCTATCAACCAAAGGACGTGTGTACTGCTCAGCAGTTCGCTCCGTCCTTCTCTATGGCTCTGAAACATGGCCAATACGAGTTGAAGACATGAAAAGGTTGACTGTTTTGATCATAGATGTCTACGATCTCTTTCTCACGTTAGGTGGTATAATAAGGTAAGTAATGTTGACGTTAGGCGTCGAGTGTTGGGCAAAGAGGGAAAATCAATCGAAGAGGCTATAAAGTTACATAGATTGAGATGGCTAGGTCACGTGCTGCGCATGCCTAACCATCGCCTCCCCCGACGGGCATTACTAGCTGATATAGGTGCAGGTTGGAAAAGAGTAAGTGGTGGCCAAACAAAAACATGGCCTCATCAATCCATAAAATCCTTGACAGTTAAACTGAGTCAAGTAGGGAGATGCAGACTTCCGGGTTGGGGCCCGCCCTCGGGACTCTAAGAATCAATGGCTGGAGACAATAGGTGACATGGCTCAAAATCGTTGTCAATGGCTTACGCAGATGTATTCAGTCTCTGTAATCTTTCATATTCCTTTCTACCATTACTCATTCTGTTTCACTCTTATACTTGTCAAAACTCGATTGATTCTCTTCACTCATCTTCTTGTCTACCATTGTGTGCTATTTGGAATGTGGGAACTCGAACTGCTGCACTTCGGTGCCAAGTTCTATGTTGAATCCAGACAGACAGACAGACTGCTCTTTTCTTTTCATGTTGTAACTGTAAAAGACGAAAGACCTAGTAAAGGAATGTTTATTTTGCAATTTGATATCTCTATATACCGAAATTATGAACACCTTATCTTCAACGCCAAACCATTTGAACAGATCTTCCGTGTTATTGTGCTACTTCTCACCTTCCTTCATATTGTCTCTCTTTGTGTTCCTTTCACGTACGTCTCCTATGCATCTCTCTCCACAATGCTGTATTATTTGCTTTCTCTGATATCAAATCTCTCTCCCTGTTATTTGATGTTTTTATGCCGGCCAATGGACATCTCTTATATACTACTGATAAATCTTATCAGTAGTGCACACCACACGACTTCTCACTAGAACCCCGGATCCTTGACGAGCAACGTTAACTGAAGCTGTGGCTTACACAGCGAAACGTTCAAAAAAAAATCTTGTTTTGATTTTTTCTTAAACACACTGGGATTAAGTTAAATAATTTATAATGAATCAATCTGACTCGGCGCTCAAATTATTCCAGGAAGTTCGTAACATCATATACGATCTGGAAACTTATAATGATATAAACGATTAGATTATAAAAGACCTAGTGATAATCAAACGGAAACTTGGGATCAATCAGTCCATGAAATTTTTAACAGTTATTTCATGCTAATTACGTAGGGAGGTGTAAACTCATCGGCTAAATGTGCTTGCACTCTCAGTGATTGATGGTGTCTCAACTGAGACGCATCCAGTTGATGAGCCCTAAATAGGACAAAGTGTGCATTCCCGATCCCCCGTGCTCATCACTCCCCCAACCAAAATAACTTCACATTTATCCTTAGACATTGTCAAAGCGTCCGTACCAGGAGCCAACACGTCAAACAGCGACGGAGCATTTCTGTGCGACATAAACAATCAACGAGAAATTAAAAACAACCTAAAAACAAACAGTTTGTGCATTTTTGTTTAACGCCTGTGATGTATCCTTAATAAGTAGTGTCGGGATATATATGTTTGATGGTTGGAGGCGATCGGCAGGAAGCCTTGGACCAAGGTTTCGTGCTAGTTGGCACTCACAGTCAACAAGACGTATCTGCAACCTTAAAGGAACTCATGTCCCTCCTGAGGATTCGAAATCGTTTCACCCAGTGCTGTACTCAGAGACGTTACTACTGAGCTATTTGGGCTCGCGACTGACCTCCAATCGAAAGTATCTAACACAGTCCTAGCACGAAACTAAGGTCCAAGGCTTCCTGCCGATCGCCTCCAACCATCAAACATATGTATCCCGACACTACTTATTAAGGATACATCACAGGCATTAAACAAAAATGCACAAACTGTTTGTTTTTAGGTTGTTTTTAATTTCTCGTTGATTGTTTATGTCGCACAGAAATGCTCCGTCGCTGTTTGACGTGTTGGCTCCTGGTACGGACGCTTTGACAATGTCTAAGGATAAATGTGAAGTTATTTTGGTTGGGGTAGTGATGAGCATGGGGGATCGGGAATGCACACTTAGGGCTCATCAAGTGGATGTACCACACCTCCCCAGGTGTTTAGCATGAAATGACTTAAATATTTCACTGACCGATCCCGAGTTTCGGTTTGACTATCCGTAGATCTTTTATAACCTCTTCCTATGTCATTTAACATTGCTCGTCAAGGATCTGGGGTTCTAGTGAGAAGTTGTGTAGCGTGTACTACTGATAAGATTTATCAGTAGTATATAAGAGATGTCCATTGGCCGGCATAATAACATCGAATAACAGGGAGAGAGATTTGATATCAGAGAAAGTATATAATACAGCGTTGTGGAGAGAGATGCATAGGAGACGTACGTGAAAGGAACACAAAGAGAGACAATATGAAGGAAGGTGAGAAGTAGCACAATAACACGGAAGATCTGTTCAAATGGTTTGGCGTTGAAGATAAGGTGTACATAATTTCGGTATATAGAGATATCAAATTGCAAATGGACATTCCTTGACCAAGTCTGTCGTCTACCACCGTTACAGTCTTAGCTATTGGAGTCCAGCAGGTCGGTGGAGGGGGTGTGAGGAGAAGCTCGTCGATGATATTGACTACCCAGTGGTGCTAAAAATTATAAATCGATAGAGATTATAATTTCAGGGCTATTGGATTCTGTTTCAGTGTCTAAATGATCATTGAATTCAGCTTGTAACTTGAACGTCCTATGTGCGTACTCTTGAAGAGTCCCAAACTAGGACGAAACAGCTGCCTGGTACTCTTTGGTTTCAATCTGTTATCAAACTTCAAATGATTGATTGTTCAGCACAGTTCGTACCATTTGTTTATTAGGAACGTAACCGTCTATATATATTTCTACTTTTCTCTACAGGGTACCGAAGATACACAGTTAGCTGATACTTCCTCTGGCCCCGATGATGATGGCGATAATCGACGTGGTCAAAAAGTATGGGATAATGAAGAGAATGGTGTTGCCTATGATTATTCAATGTTTCATTTTATGCTGCTATTGGCCACATTGTATGTTATGGTTATGCTGACCAATTGGTTAAGACCACAGAATGATTTAAAGACACTAGCCGGCAATTCAGCTAGTTTTTGGGTACGTATTGTAAGCAGTTGGATATGTTTGATTATTTATGTATGGACATTAGTTGCACCGGCATTGTTCCCAGATCGTACATTCTAGTGAAATTGAAAGTTGAGTTTATGGAGAAGAACGAGAGAGATAGAAGACAGAAGACAGGACGAACTGATGTTCTTTTTGTTCATTTTCATGTTTTTCACTTCTACACATACTCACACACAGATAGACAGACAAACACATCAGATACACAGACTGGTGAATCATTGAATGAATGAATGAAGTTCAAGTATCTAGTCTCATGTGGCATTTTTTTCCTCTGGTTACTTCATATTATTGCTCCCTACATGTCTACACTTGTCATCAAAATGTGCTTATAAATAAATATAATTAACAAGACAAGCAGAGAGAGAGAGAGAGAAGAATGAGCATAAGTCGTCAGTAAAGGACGCATATTCCTTATCGTCAAAGTACCATTTCACTAACTGTGTATAGCTTTTTGTTTTCCTTTGATGTGAGAATTTGCGATAAATGGGAATGCTCTTTGCTGTCTCTTGTGTGCTCTTATTCACATTATTGCACTGGTACTGTTATTACTATTCATTACCATTATTATTATTATTATTATTATTATTAATATTGTTCATTTCGTTTAATTCATTTCCCGCTCATCAGAATAATTGCTTTATGCTTTTTCATTTGATAAACATTAATATGATCCATTTGACAATCGATTCCTTTTTTTTAAATTTTTGGTGCTAAATTGATTTTTTCGCGGTAGTTGGGGTATTATTATTATTGTTATTATTCCATTGGGTTCTGAGTGGGACATAGGGCTTCAACAACACTCCTCCACTTTTGTTCTATTCTCTGCTTTCTTATACAGTCGGCTAGCTCCGCGATTGACCATAATCTCTCATCTACTCTCACCAACACACGATCTCCCCCATGTCACCCTTGCACTGATGACCCACTCGTCGCTTCCCGTTGGGATACCATTCGAGCGATGACCTGCATTGCGCGCGATGTCATTCGATGGCCTCCATCTCCATTTCCTCCTACATATTTGTTGAACAATTGGCTCTCGCCTGTTGGTTTGTTCCCAGCCAGAGTTTCATATTGCTAATTCTTTCTGGCCGGCCGGTTGACCATTTGATCTTCAGTATGGAGTTAGACAGCTGTTGGTAAAAGTCTGCAACAGGTTGTTGGAAATCCCTTTCGTGACATACGTGCAGTGTCAGTTTCTGACTGACTTCACATTTGTGTTGAATAGAATCCTAATCTTGTTGTTTATGCTGAGGCGCTGAGTGCTGAAGATTTGCAAACTGGTTTCATGTTGATGAAGTCGTATTTTGCCTTTCCGATTCCGTGCCGTATGCATGTGGTTGAGACCGTGCTTCCTGGGTGGATAAGTGAAGGAAGGAAGTAACCTCTGTGAAATCTCTTCCGTCGACAGTGATTGGTGCTGGCTGTTGTTGTTGGTTGTTTGGGTATCTTCATCACCTCTGTCTTCTTTATGTTCATCTGCATGAGTCCTGTCTTTGTTGCCTGCTTCTTTAGGCAGTTTGTTCGTTTTCACCTGCAATTCTTTGAGTTTTTATGACATTAAAAATAAATCATCTGCCACGGAATCCAGATGTTCTAGAATCTTCTTATCGGTCATTCCAACATATTCCTGTCTTCGCACTTCCCTCGCATAGTTCTTCGCATTATCCATTCCACCACCATTAGGAATGTCATGGGTGATAGTAGGCGGCCTTGTCTTATTCCTGTATTCACTTCAAACGCGTCGCCGAGTTTTCCGTAATGGATCACCTAACACGTGTCATTGTCACATAGCTAGGTGTTGAATGAAGTTGATAAAGACTTGGGCACTGCATACCGTAGTGTTGAAGGTGTTTCCAAATTACGTCTCAGTCAACGTTGTCAAAGGCCTTTTGTGAAGTCGATAAGGTTGAGGTAGAGTGAGGTTTGACTGCCATTCTTTGCTTTGTTCTGTGATGACGATGCGTAGAGTTGCAATTTGATCAGCACATGATTTGCGTTTCCTGAATCCAGCTTGTTTCTGGGGTGGGCGGAGTTCTGAATCCAGTGCATCTTTTATTCTTTCCAGGATGACACAACTTAGTATTATTATTATTCACTTTACAGTGCTTGATATTTTCAAGTTCTCTCTCTGATAACTAATTAATTTCTAGGATGTAACAGAACCGTAATGCATTATTATCATGTTAATTTTAATCTCAGAAACTCCCTCCTCCTTATCTATCTGAACATGACCTGAAAAACATTCACATCTGTCGTTTTCAACGATTGATTCAATGCAGTTTATTTATTAGGCTTAAATCTCCCGATGTATTTCTGACAGCATATATATATATATCACTGTACGTAGAGTATTCAGATGAAGGGTTCTGTCGAAATTTGATGAATTCATTGGATCCTGCTTTACTAACACTCACAAGGCCTGTCCTTTTCAAACTAATCCAGTGTCATTTAACACTATCTGATGACGGAGAGGGTGGCTGGATATGGGTAACGCGTGTCCTGACCATCTAAATGGATGTAGCTTGACAGCTTCATCGACTAACTTACCCCTCTCACCTAATTATTATTGTATATTATTGTTTCATTTAGTTCCTAGAGGAACATAGGGCTTCAGCCGCACGTCTTTATTGCGTTCGGTTCTCCGCCAATGTTTTCACCTAACTCCACGTCTGTCCACATGCTTTCATCTCTTCTTCACATGACCTCCACCATGTCACCCTCACACTGACGACCAACTCGCCGCTTCCCGTTCGGGTTCCACTCGAGCGATGGCCTGTCGTGTGATGTCACTTGATGGTTTGTTTTCTCAGAGTATGGCCAGTCCACCTCCATTTCTTCCTGCATATTTGTTGCACAATTGGTTCCTGCTTCGTTGGTTTGCTCCCAGAGATCTCTGTTGCTGATCTTTTCTGGCCGGCCATCTGATCTTGAGTAGTATTGAGCGAAGACAGCTGTTGATGAAGGCCTGTAGTTTGTTCGAAGTGGCCTTCGTGACGCGGCGCCAAGTCTCTGATCCGTATAGTAAGTAGCACAGACTTCACATTGGAGTTGAAAATCCGGATCTTATTTTTCATGCTGAGTGCTGTTGACCTCCACATAGACTTGAGAGAAACCCCTCACCTAATACTATACAGATAACCTCAATATCATTCACTATATTATATCCCTTAACACTGGAGGTAGAAGGTAAACATCTGTAATCAGAGACGACTAGACTCTTAAGGTCTTTCACTTTCAATGACCATTTCTCAAAGACATAAAGAAGGACACAGTGAATTGGTGCTTAGCATACAAGCAATCGATTCTAACTATTATTGGAACTTCTCATTTGGACTAATTAATATTGTATACGCATTATTTCAAGTATTCTCAGCTTTATTAAGCACATGTAGTGCGAGCTGTCTGCAAGACAAACAATTGACGTCAGTGTTTACGTCCCAAATCGGGGTCATGAGAAAAAACAAGAACAAAGCCTTACCTTGAGGAACTCAACAACCAGTCACAGCAAACTTGGCGTGAGCGGATACGATTCACAGATATATTACCGGACTGTCTGAGAAACTGTCACAAAGAGATGACATAATAACCTTGAGCTGAAAAACAGCCAATCAGAAGACGTTGCTTCTCTACTAATAATAACAAATAATAATGTCCATGAGAATCTATAAATATCTGTTGATTTTCCCAATGAACGATCTGTTGCCTGGCCCTTGTCTTCTATCGTTACGCACATTTACTTTCAACTTTTCTGAGTGAATACTCTTTCCTGCCCAAATTAGTGAGCATTCTTTAATAACTAGTGAGGCGACTCAATCAAGAAGGAATTATGGAGTGATCGTGGTGACAATTCATTATTTTTGCATATCCTTGGCTGTAGCAGTTGATACATGCGTGTTTCTGACAATCTATCAAAATGATAACTTAATTGGTTACAGGATTTCATCATGAGTTGACATCGGTTAGAGAACCATTGAAAAATTCACCAGGGAATACTGGACAGCTGTTTCGTCCTCGTTTGGGACTCTTCAGTCTTGTAACCGGAAGGCCCTGGGTTTGAACCCTGGTAGTGGGTGAGTGCTGATGAAGGGTCCCAAAGTAGGACGAAACAGCTCTCCAGTACTCCTAGATTTTCTAATGGTTATCTAACCGATATCAGCTCATGATGAAATCGTGTAAGCAATCAAGTCAAATCCCTGCAAACCCACACTTGGATAACTTAATCAGAAATAATAAATGAATCATACACCGACAGAGTCAACAGAAGTGTTATTCCCCTCAATTTTTCGCAAATAATCTTCATCGGTTTCTATACTACTTAATTCCTAAACTAGTATTATCATACCTCCGTTTTCCTAGATAATATAGAGTGGTTAAGATCAATAAATTACAGGTGAAAAGCATGTTTAATTGGTAATATGCCTGAATATACTACTGAATTGAATATCAGATAAAAGTAGGCTGAGGGTTAATGCAGCAATTAAATACGGTTAAAAATCATAATAACTTATAAATTGATTGGGATGAGGAGGTGGGGTAAATTGTCAGATTTCTACAATCAACTTCTTTTGAATACATCAATTTGACTTCTTCAAGTGGATTCCTATTGTGGTGAGAGATGGTTGCTAGCCAAATTGGTTGACAGTAATTGAGGTCAATGTTAGTCATGTGAAAACAAGGTCAAGATGGACAGGTGGATGCAGTTAACATATAGATGAACTGGCACAGCCACAAGAGATGCAAGGTTAACTGTGGGTGAGAAACAACCAATCAACAGACTGTATTTTCTACTAACATTAACCTACAATAATGTACATCAAAATCTATAAATATGTGTTGATTTTCCGTAAAAAAAGGTTCTGTTGCCTGGCCCTTGTCTTCTGTTGTTACACTATGACTTCAGTCATATATAGAAGACGAACACTTAAAGGAAAAATTACGATTCGTAGGAATACGGTAAAATTGTAACCACAGAAGGCAAGGGTCAGGCAACAGATAGTTTACTGAGTAAATCAACAGATATTTATAGATTTTTATGGACATTATTATTCATTATTGTTAGCAGAGAATCAATGCCTTCTGATTGGCTGTTTTCTTGCTGAAGGTTATTCTGTACTGCTTGTGACCGTTGCTTACAAAGTTATCTATATATCTGCGAATCGTATCCGCCCACTCTAAGTCTGCTGTGATTGGTTGTTGAGTTCCTCAAGGTTAGGCTTTGTTCTTGTTTTTCTCTCATGACCCTGATTCGGGACGTAAACATTGACGTAAATTGCTGTCTACCAATTTCGGCTAGCAGACAGCTCTCACCACAAAATAACTTTAAACAGTTTGTTGACATCAACTTAATGTTCAGTATCTACAAAGTGTGCTAGAGCATATATTTATTTATTTTATTTTATTATAGCTTGACTCCATACAGTATTTTTGATACAAGTATGAAATTTTCAGCATGTGGTATCGGTAGCCCACTGATATCAGGTGTGCGTCGGCCGGGGATCGAACCCCGGACCATGTGCACGGTCGGCGAGCGTCCTGACCGCTGTGCCACCGACGCACGAACAGACAGATGCAGACTTTTATCAACAGCTGACTTCGCTGTATCCTGAAGGTCAAATGGCCGATCGGAAAGGATTAGCAGCAAAGATCTCTGATAGAGAACTGACCAAGTACCTTTTACCTAACAAATATTCCGAAGA